AAAAAATTCCCCGAGGGCGTGTGAAACCACCCGAAATATCTCCGAAACGCGAGTTTTTTTTTTTAATCGGAAAAAAATCATCGGTGGGAAATCACGAAAGGAATCGATTGCAGCACTTTATTTTTGAATCGTACGGTTGGATTGTCCCCAAGAAACTAAGCAAAATACCCTCCTATATCCGGTTTTTTGCCCATAACTCCGTTATTTTTTGTCAAATTGGAAATCGGAAAAAAACATCGGTGGAAAATCACGAGAGCTATCCAAATCCAGTCTCAGATTTTGTGTCTGCAAAAAACACCGCCCTCCAGAACGTAAGCAAGATTTCTTGAATATCTAAACATGTCGAGCGAAGGACGAAAAAAAATATATATATATATATATATCTCCGTACGAAGATGCGCCTTAAAACGTCGATTTACGCGGTATTTTCAGATTTCGGAATAAGTACCCCCACCCCGAGAAAAGTGCACCTTTGTGCAGGGGAAAATATTGTGAATATTTGCCCGAACGGACCATACGACATGTGTAGTATGTAGACTATGCATAGACTAGTCTATGCATAGCAACATTCAAATGGAGTGCTGGTGTTGGGGCCATGCGAGCGCCAAGTGTGCGGTTGCCCGAACAAGTATCTATGACATCTCAGGCAATTCGGCGCACACGGAAACATGCAGGCTCTACACAGCGTAGTTGATATATCAGTAGCAGCAGCAGAGCAGTGTGTATTGATTGGCTTGCTTATTGTTGCATAAGAAATCGATACTTGCAAACATGGGTCCCGATCATGGCCGGTGGTTTAGTAGGTGACCTTGCTTCTGAAGCTTGGACGTGGATTCGGATCTCGGGACAGCGACACGAACTGGAACTTGTTCTCACAATAAATGTGCCCCAACAACAACCAACGTGGAAAGGGATAATTTTGTTGATCTATAGGAAAGAAAAAATCCACTTCACGTGGACGAGGGAAGGGACGGCTGAATCCTCTGTGTGGCTTTCATTCCTCCTGTATGACCGCGGTTAGTGCGTCCTGAAATGTTTTGAAAAGTGGGAGGGCCGACATCCAGAACAAATGAGACCACAAACACAAAATATGTGTTGGTGTTTCTGGTGTGAGAAGCATCTCTCTTGTTGCATCCATCCCCATCGTACCCCGTGTTTTTTCATGGAAATTATCTTTGGCATCCATGGGTATCAGTTGCTACCAGATTAAGCAGAGCCCGGGGGGGGGGGGGGATCGTGGGGTGTCACTGCCTTCCAGTGCGACCAATGACACCAACCACCTGCTTCACCTCGGCACCCCCCCGGGCGCGTCCCACCCCAGCGGCGAAGCCTCAACGCCAACAACACATAAATGTGCTTCCCCGCGTCGAAAACTCCCGTCGACTGGGATATTGGTAGGGGTATTCGTCAGTGATTATTGAATCGCGGGGGGACTACCCTGCTCGCAAACAACACGAAGGGAGACCCTTTCTTCCTGTCTTGTGCCGCTGAGGTCTCGTCTCATTCGCAAGTCAGCGACCCCGACTCCGTGGACACTGCTGTGTCCCCCGCCGGCCCTGCCCCGTTTTCACTCTAGACAACACAACTGCTGCCTGCCGTGCAGAGAAGTAGAGATCAAATGACACCAGCGGGTGCCATCGTCCCGTAGCAGCGGTCTCGGGGACCTACCTACAGGGTCGATGGCACTAACGAGGGCTTCCCGCAGAGCGCTTGCAGAATTCACATCCATGCTCATTCTTGAATCAGCACTCCAGCACCTTTATCCGATGAAGATCAGAGGGATCAGATTATCATTCGTTCGCTACACCTCTCAATCTCTTTTTATCTTTTCCGATGAGAACGCTTGGAGGAAGGAGGTTGTACCTAGCTCCGAAATAGTAAGACTGGGAACAAAAACTTCTTGATCCTATATCTGATCCAGCTCACACGCCATGCTACTGTCGAATTCTGACATCCTCAAGTGTACGGGGACAAAAGAAGCGCACCCACCGAGTCCTTCCTTTTGGTCCGTTCAACCGACAAAGAGTTTCCGATTCCCAGGCAAGGTATAAAGTCAACGTATTTAGTCGTTTTTCATTGCAGCTTGATCCCTTAAATCTTCAATCTCCGGCAACGAGTCGCGATTCCCTTCAGGCTTCACGTCGTTTTTCATAGCAACCCTGGCCCCTGACGCGTTTCCGGCTGCCGTATTTACAGACACGCGGGAGCTTTTCGCATCTGACTAAAGCACAGGGAACACGGCGCATGCTTAGTTTTGCACTGCTGTGCCCGGGCATGACAACCGAGAAAAGAGGCGCCAATAACAGCAGCAAAAATCACCCCGCAAACGTTTGTAGACACCAACCCCCTCGCCCCCCGGCCACTTGCACGTACAACATAACACTAGCACTTTGATGAGTACGCTCATCGACCCCAACAATTCGCCAACCCTTAACATCCAAGCACGATGATTGCTCCGGAAACGCCTTGCTTCTGACAGCAGGTAACGAGGGAAGGCCAGGCGAGACGGCTGGTCCGTAACAACCTGTTTTCCGGGGTCCCTTCGCGAATACGGCGCGACCAAGCGGAACCATTTTCGAGAAAAGAGGGCTGCTGCCCCGGTATCTCCCTCCGCAGGTCAGTCAGCCTACGAGCAGCCATGTCCGGCAGTCTGGTGACGATTCGCCGGGTGGGTGCACGGAGTCGGCGATCGGCCCAGAGGTGCGTACAGATCACACGCACACACGCTTTCTTGGCTCAAAACAAGGTACCGCAAAAACAGCGGAAACGTTGTAAAGTTGGCCAATCAACTCGTTTTTCTTTATTGAGGCTGCATGCAAAGACCCCTGGCTATTGGACATGTATGATAGCAGAGAACGCGGCACCCCGCCCCGACGTGCAGCAAGAAAATCAGATCGGGCAATGACCGACAGACGCCGAGCTGTCCTTTTGCTGGCACCAGCGGCAGCTCTGTAGCCATCACCATTATAATTATGTTCTGTCCACTGTGTGCACAGCATCGGCTGTCGTGGTGCACACACGACCAATCTTCTCAGCAGACAATGTACATTCTCATCAATACAACTCCCCTCCCTCCCCCCCCCCCCCCCCCCCCCCCCCCCCCCCCCCCCCCCCCC